CTCGTCACCTGAAATGTTCGTATATGGGACTGCTCGTAGACCCGAGGCTCCACTGTATTGGAGAATAAAATATGTTTTTGAAAACCAAAGCTGCGGACTCTTCAAGTAAATGGCTTGCAGACGCAGTCTGCTACAGACGAAGTACGATTAAGATAGCATTTGTGTAACTTTACTAACAGTTATATTTTAATTTACAGGGCGAGTAAAAATCAATCAAAATTCATGCTAACTATATGGGTATTTTTAGGGAGTGCTCCTTGCAGATGACCGCACAGATGCACTTTCAATTGTCGGCATCATGGGGTGGCTAAAATCTTTTGTTGGTATGCTGTAAGGTCACCAACAGTATAACCCCACCAAAGTAAGTATATCTAACTAAAATCAGGCGTCAGAGTTGCTGTCAACTTTACAAGAGTTACGCCTCCATCAAACCCTAGACTGAACATAACAAACACAAGATTGCCGTTCATAAGGTGTCTGAGCTGAGGAATGAATTGCATATCATTAGTATCTCCCCATGTGTAGAGGATCGGAAGCTTACTTCCAATATATTTATTTCGACGTACACTGGAAGTCCCTAGAGGTCAACCGCTGAGAAATGTCGTTTATATTCGGCGGAAAAGATTAGTAGTATCTGAAGAAACTGGAATTTTAATTTTGTTACATCGGACGCAGACTTCCGTGCGACCAGCAAAGCTATTTACTATCAGTAGACAGAAGCAGGGTCTAAGAATTTGAATGAAAGATTCTGCTGCGTGTCTTAAGTATGATTTCCTCACAATTAATCAATTCTGACATTCTTATAAAAATTATGGAATTTCAATTAAAAAAGAGGTGTATTTGCGTATGGACTGAAATCCTATGTCATTATTTACCATTCTGGCAACAAGGGTACTGCCTAAGAGCCTACACACGGTCTCCGCCACCATTCCGGCACCGCTTGAAACAGCTGCGAAGAAGTTGATTCTATAAAAAATGACTACTTAAATAGTATGCTTTTGTATCATTGATTTTGACTGCCTTTATGAATTCAAATACATTTTATGGAAAGCATACACGAAAAAACCTCTCTTATACTTGTTTTATAGCAAATGATGCCTTCTTTCAATTTTAACCTTAAAGGAAGTGTTTCCATCGGTTTTAAGAAACGTTTTCAAATTGCCGAATTATTTTGAAGGCTACCGACTGCCGGCTCTGAATTCAAGTTTTACTAACTGAATGCTATGTTCGTCCTGATTAAGGGAAAGTACGTTCTTGCCTATGGTTTGAGGGAGTGGTTGCATAGCTCTCGTAAAATTTTGCAATAGACATGGATCATGCTGTATATATCGGTGACAGCGCTAATAAATTGATGGATACGATGTATTATGAATGAACACCACACAGTCGTATAAAACTCAAAATTAGACATTTTTTAAACCGAAGAAAACACTTCTTTTAAGAATAAAGTTTAAAGAAAGCGTCATTTCCTCTCAAATCAGTACAAGAGAGGATTTTTCGTGCATGGTTTTCATAAGATATATGCGAATTTATAAAGGCAGTCAAAATCAATGATAAAAATGTATACTATTTAAGTAGCCATTTTTTTACAGAATCAACTTTTTCGCAGCGGTCAAAAATAAGCTCATCACAGAATCGGCATCCTAGCATGACTGAAAATAATTGAAATTGGACTGCATGATAAACAGTATT